GAAATGGCTTTGGGCCCCCAGCCACAAGAGGCAGGAGCAAAGGAGGCAGCAGCAGCTGAAGCCATGTGGTTGGTGAATCTGGGCCACCTGTGGGACTGACACCATGGAGATTCTGTATCAAACACAAACACAGAAAAATCAACCTGAGCAACTTTGTTCTCTGAAGGACAAACTGTTGCATTCATAGCTTGCATGTCTAATGATCTGAACGCAGAGGCTTCACTCAGCTTCTCACACACATTGAAAGGGGAGGGGGCAAAAATGCAGCAAGCTACAAGGGCTTTGTCTACAAGTAGCTCCTTCCTGTGCAATGTACTGGATTGTCCAGATCAGGCCTCTGTCCTTCCCTGCCCATATAAGCTGCTGAACTACCCAGGCCCGGAGCGCTCCTTACTCTGAATAGGGTGCTGAGCCACATAGCAGGAGTTCCCAAGTCCTCCTGTTCCAGTAAGACACTCCAACGTGGACTCCACTCTTTTCCTGGCACTACGTCCTGTCCCACATCCCTACGCTGTATATGGACCAAGTCCGGTCAGGTCTGGTGACGATGCAGCACATGGTAAGGGACTGTTGCACTTGGTAAATATCAGGGGTGTGACTTCTGCATATTTCCCCTACTTAACTAGGATTCTGTATTCACTGCACCTGTGTCAAAGAGAGGATGATTAGGACTCCTGTAGGGAAGCATTTAAAACTGCAGTGTTCTGGTTCTTTTCACACTTCTGAGAGGCTTCCTTCCTCCTAGAGTGAAAGTATAAAGGTCCCTGCTAACTGAAATGTGTGAAACTTCAAACAGGGCACGCTAGATGTCACTATTGTAACTTATTTTTCAGGCACTGCAAGAGCTGTTTTCCCTCTCTGGATTACAATAAACATATATTGATTTATGCTAAGGTCAGTATCCCTGCTTATTGGACCACTGAGCAACATATGCTTTCTGAGAAATTCACATGCTGGCCACCACACCCAATTCTTTGTAATTCGAACTTGTGTTACTTTATTTGCCTTTTCTCTTACCCTTTGATCTATAAACCTTTTCAGGTGTTGATCTATTCAAAAAGACCTACCACTGCAGTGCATAATGTACATTAAAAACCATATATATATATCTCACTGTAAATTGGACAAAAAATTTACATTGCCTAAAAAAGACATATGTACAGTTATGTGCAGTCATTTACCAAAACCAGTTGGTTTGTTTTTAAATGAAATAAGTAACTTTTAGCAAAATAATCAGTATAAAGTGCACATTAGAGAGCCACGCTGTGCTGATGCAATGTAAAATAAATTGCTTCACAGCAGGAGTGCATTTTCTCAAATATCTTTCAAAGTTTTGCTCAACACTTAGAGCAGGGGTGAGCAGTAATTTCTGAAGAGGGGCCACTTCACAAATTTTGGAAGTGGTCTTGGGCCATCCCTAAAGGGGCAGGGCCTCGGGCAAAAGGGGGCTGTTCCCTTTAGGTGCGGCCCACCCCAGCAGGGAGAGGAGACTTTGTGTGTTCCCTGCCCCCAGACCCTGATTGGCCTGTAGGTATGGTAGCATGTGAAGTCTTTACCCCCCTTCCCCTGCCCTGCCTGGGGCACACAGCTCCTAAAGAGAACCGCCAGCTGTTTTGAATAGCTGGTGGTTCCTTCTAGGTGCTGTGTGCCCCTGGTGGTAGGTGGAGGCTTTGTGTGCTCCCCCCACCGTCAGGCCAATCAGTGCCTGGGGGCAGAGGAGTGCACCAAGTCTCTCACCCCCGTCCCCATCCTGCCAAGGGTGCATGGTGCCTAGAGGGAACTGCCAGCCATTTTAAATAGCTGGTGGTTCCCTCTAAGTGCCGCATACCCCTGGCAGGGGAAAGAGACTTTGCACACTCCCCCATTTCCAGGGTTCGAGGGAGCCAGACCAACTTGATTTCATGCAAACTTGCTCCTGGGTTCGCATGTGGCCTTTGGTGGCAGGGGTGGATGATAATTTTGCGGGGCCCAGGGCGGTGCCACAGAGCCAGGGCAGCACAATTTTGTGCATGCGCCGCGGCAGCAGCCAACTGGAAGTAGCATTTTGTGCATGCGCCTCAGCAGCAACTGACCGGAAGTAGCGTGCACAGGGTGCGTGCGTGGGGCCTATTGAAGTGCGGGGCCCAGGGCAACCACCCCACTCGCCCTGCCCTATATCCACCGCTGTTTAGTGGCCAGGCGGGCAGCTCTCCTGCCATAGATGGCCATGTTCCTCCGTCTAGTGTGGAAATCATGGATGTTGGGGGCATCCCCCCCCAAACCTGAATAAGGTCCATGATCTCCACCCTGGACCAGGAAGGCTCCCGCCTTCTCTGCCCCCTGTCAGGCTCTTAGGAGCTGGCAGACTGCTCCTGGGGAGCGGTGGAGGGCTGGCTGCCAGTGGCTTGCTGGCTCATGTTTTGGGGCCACTGGGCCCAGATGGGCTGGCAGGCTTGGAGCTGGCACAGGCACTGTGGCCAGTGTCTACCCCTTTAATGGCTCCAGGGCTGGGGGAGAGGAGAGTAAGTTTTCCTGGTTGTTGCCCCCTATTTCGAATTAAGTGTCTACACAGCACTTAATTCGAAATAGCTATTTCAAATTTGGCGTTACTCCTCATAGAATGAGGTTTACCAAATTTGAATTAAGTGCTCTGCTATTTCAAATTAAATTCGAAATAGCAGTTTGCATGTATAGACGCTATTAAAGTTAATTTAAAATAATGGCTGTTATTTCGAATTAACTTTGTAGTGTAGACATACCCTCAGAGATAATATCCCTTAAATCCAAAAGAACTAACAGGGAATGAGGAATACACAGGTTCCAAAAACATGTGCTCACATATGACACTGTCAAACATCCATTCTTCTTTAAACATTTTATACAAATGAGAAAAAATGATTGAATAGATTAGCAACTCTTCCTGTGGAAACAACCTTCTTAGAAATATACTGACACAATTTTTAAAGTGTTAATTTAAGTTCACAATGGTTAATGGCCAAATAGCACCTTGCAAGATCCAAGAAGGTGAACATTAGGTGTAAACTATAAAACTCAGTATGGGACATAATAACTCTTGATTAAAGGGTGTGAATGAACTGGAATAATTATGTATAATTTTATAACAGCCAACATTATACTAAGTGTCTCACAAAGATAGTAAATTGCACAAAGTCCCTGCCTGGTAGAACACAATGTTCAGTTTCATACAACATAATATGTGGGGAATTAAATAATTTTAGTGGAGAAAAGGCAGACAGTTTTATCTGGAATAAGAATACACAGCTCTGTATAACATTAAAATTAGGTTCTTTTAGAAAGAATCACTATTGACTCTTCTGGGTGTTGCAAAAGACGTAGGTCATAAGGAATGATCCAGAATCATGGAGGACAGTGACATGGAGAACTAGTTCCAAGGGGGTATCCTAGGTATAAAAAGCGGTATGGAAAGGGGCCTGGATGCAGTTGTGGTAGGGTAGAAGTATACAGGTCACTGAAACTGCTATCATTAACCAGGAGACTGGCATGGAGTGATGAGATAAATTATGCTGGAAAAAGTAGGCAGATGCAGAGAGATACAGAGCTAGGAAACCATCTCTCAGGCCCAGTAACAGAAAGGGGCAAAGGGGGCAATTGCCCCAGGGCATGGTTCAAAAGGGCCCAGAGCTCCTGGCCATTGCTGTTGCTACTGCAGCAGTGGTGGTAGCCAGAGCCCTGGGCCTCTGTGAATTTCCACTGGAGTGCCATGCTGGGCAATACATATAGCTCTGAGGGCTGGGCAAGACAGCACCACAGTCAGGGCAGCGCTAAGGGCTGACTATCCTCAGCCCTACCCCTTACACCTGAGGCCCTGCCTCTTCTGGGGATGAGGAGCCAAGCCGCCATTCCCCCATGCTTTGCCCCTGAGCCTGCAGTAGCTGTTGGTACCGCTGCAATCTTTTCTTGCCCCTCTTACCTGTCCTTGGACCAGCCAAGGAAAAAAAACTTAGACAAAGGGTGAACTTGAGCAGTACTGAAGCTAGTTTATTAGTACAGATTTTTAACGGTATGGCAGGACACACACATATACATCACATTCATGCTGACAGTTTGGAGGCAGGCTGCAGGCAGTGAGAGTTACTTTTGATTTCACAAATGGCTGAAAATGGCCAGGTGACAGCCCCCCCAGAAATTCAGCCATAAAGGCGTTGAGGGGCCCCTGAGATCCCTTCGGGCTCTACTTCTTCTGATCTTTTCCTGGGGTTGGCCTGCTGTTACATCTTTCCAAGGGAAGACAGACCCACCTATCCAACTGTCACATCCATGTAAATATTTTGCAGAATTTTTCCTTAGTCATGAAAGATATTATATGTTGTTTTGCCTTATGATTGGTGGTTCTCACTCACACATCCTCATGCACACATTGACAAATTACATATTCATAAGCATGAATACAATTAATTATATTAAAGCAACATGGCTTTTCCAGGCAGACTGCTATCATCGGGCATGTGCATAACAGGAATTGCCTAAACCACATTTGTTCAATAAAACAGGAAATTTGCTTAAACCGCAGCTAAAAGAGCTAGAAATACAAGAGATGTGGGGAGAAACATGGGAGGGTCATGTCCAGCCAGCTACACACCAATGTGAGGTGTGTGTCTGGCTGGCTAAAGCCCCTATTCTGTTTTGTATCAAATTGTTCCAGCCTCACTCCCAGCCTTTTTTCCCCCCACTCGAGCAAACCCAGACCAATGTGAAATCCAATATTCCAGTGTTTTGTCTGGAGTCTAATAAAAATCCAGTGTCTAGAGCTGAATTTAATTAGCAACTGTGCACATCCATACCCAAAATCACATTAACAATTCCATATAGATTCTCTATCCTCAACCAGAATAGCTAACATGAGAAATGAAAATAAGTGTTGCCAACTCTGACAGCACTGGTATTTTTCCCCAAATCTTCAATTCATTTCATGTGAGAAAACTAGATTTCTTTCATTAAATAAAGTTTCAACCCTCAGCTTTGCAAAGAAAAGTTTTCAAGAGTCAGAAGGCAAATAAAATTCACTATATTAATAATATTGGTGTAATTTCATCCGTGCCAATCTAGACACGCATTTGTGCAAGAAAGCCCTAATGGCCATTTTAGCCATCGGGCTTTCTTGCACAAAAAATTAAGGTGCCTGTCTACACTGGCTCTCTTGAGCAAGTATTCTTACGCAAGAGGGCTTATCCCTGAGCGGGAGTGTGAAAGTATTTGCGCAAGAAACACTGATTTTGTGCATTACAAAGTCAGTGCTCTTGCGCAAATTCAAGCGGTTTGAGAAAATCAAACCAGCCAGTGTAGACAGCTGGCAAGTTTTTGCACAAAAGCGGCCGCTTTTGCACAAAATCTTGCCAGTCTAGGGATAGAGATTCTACCACTTCCCTAGGTAACCCATTCCAGTGCTTCACCACCCTCCTTGTGAAATAGTTTTTCCCACTATCCAACCTAGACCTTTCCCACTGTAACTTGAGACCATTGCTCCTTGTTCTGCCATCCATCACTACTGTGAACAGCCTTTCTCCAGCCTCTTTGGAACCTCCCTTCAGGAAGTTAAAGGCTGCCATCAAATCCCCCCTCAAGACTAAACAAATCCTAATCTCTCAGTCTCTCCTCATACATCATGCGCTCCAGCCCCTTAATCATTTTGGTCGCTCTCCACTGGACCCTTTCTAATGCACACACATCGTTTCTATAGTGGGGGCCCAGAACTGGACACAATATTCCAGATGTGGCCTCACGAAAGCCAAATAAAGGGGAATAATCATTTCTCTGGATCTGCTGGCAATGCTCCTCCTAATGCACACTAATATGCCATTAGCCTTCTTGGCTACAAGGGCACACTGTTGACTCATATCCAATTTCTCATCCACTGTAAGCCCCAGCTCCTTTTC